AAGCTTCTTCTCCGTCTCCGTGCATCTTCGCTGCGTGAGCGCAGGGAGCAGAGGAGGGAGGAGGAGGCACCGGATGCAAGTCGTGACGACGTTGGTGATGTTGTCAAGGAGGTCCAGCTTGGAGTCATGACTCCTCGAGTCTGCGTTGAGAACCATCTTGTTCTTCTCCTCCAGGTCCTTCCGTACCCCTGCCACCCCCCATCACTCCTCCCGATGACCCCCCTCCCATCCTCATTCCCTTCCTCCCCCTCCCTTCCTTTCTCCACCTCCTCACCTACCTCCTCCCTTCCTCTCCCTCACCAGCTCTCTTCCTCTCCCCCTCCTCTCTCCTCTTCTCTCTGCTCTCCTCCCGCAACTCACTTGCTTTCTGTACATTCTCCGAGTCTTTCATCTCTTTCATATGTCGAACCTATCAGGATGATCAGTCAACGATGCAACCATCGCATTAAGATCGCTCAGAAGCATCGAGGCTTTGAATGTTGATATGAGAGTGAGATTGACAAGCAAGCGATGTTGACAAGGACTTGTCAACCAAGAGGCATGACAGGAGCTTCACAACTCATCCGCAAGCTTCTGTATCATCACCTCCGCATCTCGACGAGCTTGTTTCAGCTCCGACACTTCCTGCTCTTTCTGCTTGTTCGACAGGACGTGAAGGTCGAGATCAGCCTGCAGCTTCTTCTTCTCCTCTTCCAACCTGCCGACATGATCAGCGGAGCAGCAGCAACCTTGTGAGCCAATACTTGTCTGCCTTGTCTTGCATCACCGTGAGCTGTGGGACTGTCAGGAGCGCGCAAGCGTCAGCCTCGCAGCTTCACCTCTGCTCGCAAGTTGTTGATCTCTTCCATCATCTTGTTCGATTCTTGCAAGCTGAAACCGAGGGATGAGAGTTGTAGTGTACGATGATGAAGAAAACGAGAAATGAGCGATGGATGGAGAAGAGGAGTAGAAAGCAGCGATGAAGACAAGACATGAATGGAGGTGTGAGGGATAGCGAATGCAGGAAGTGAAGGAGGAGGAGAAGGAGATGGGGGAGGAGGATGGAGAGGAGCAGTGAGATTAAGACCTGTTGTCGGATGGCTGTAGCTTCTCTCTCGAGTTTGACCTGCCGTTGACAACTCTCAAGAGCAGCAGGGGAAGGAGGAGAACGAAATGACAGGAGGCAAGTATGTGATGCAGTTGAGCTGATCAAGCACAAGGAAGACAGGCGGGAGCTAGTGGTGTTTGTAAAGGAGGAAGAGAAGAGGAGGGAGCAGCAGGAGCAAGAGTAAGAGCGTTGAAGGTGGAGGGGGGGAGGGCGGCGGCGGCGGCAGCAGCAGGAAGAGAGGAGGCGGGAAAAGGTCAACATGACTAGTCACCTTCTGAGAGAACCTTCCGCGCGTCCATCGGGACTTGATCTTCTTGAAGATTTCTTCATCTCCATCGTCTTCTGAATCTTCTCAACGATAGCGCCTGAGATGTCTTGAGATGCGCGAGCAGCAAGGAAGAAGACAAGTAGGGGTGAGATGGAGGAGCAGGAGCAGGAGCAGGAGCAGGAGCAGGAGCAGGAGCAGGAGCAGGAGCAGGAGCAGGAGCAGGAGCAGGAGCAGGAGCAGGAGCAGGAGCAGGAGCAGGAGATAGCAAGTGACCTGCTTTCAGCGGCTTCGAGTCCCACGCGTCCGCTCCTGATTCAGTCTCAGGGGCAGAAGGAGCCAGCGATGAGAGGTGAAAGAGGGCAGCAAGGCAGAGAGGAGGAGAAGGGGGAGGGGGAGGGGAGCAGGAAGAGGAAGAGGAGGAGCAGAAAGAGGAGAAGGAGGAGCAGGAGCAGGAGCAGGAGCAGGAGCAGGAGCAGGAGCAGGAGCAGGAGCCGGAGCAGGATGACGAGGAGGAGGATTCGATCAAGACGAGGAAGGAGGAGAAAGAGAGTCAGACCGCAAGCCTGAGCATCCGACGCGATGTCTAAGTTAGCAGAGACCATGACGATAGGAAGTGTGTCTGCATTGAAGTCAACACTGCTCTCTTCCTCTCCCTCTCCCTCTCCCTCTCCCGCCCCTGCTCCTCCCTCCTCCCCTCGCCTAGTCTGCCTCATGCTGCTCTCGCCCCCTTCCCCTCGCTCCCTCCCTCTCTTTCAACCTGGATAAAGAGTTCGCAGCTTCCGCACAACCTGAGAGGCCTCAGACAAGTGAAGCCAAGCAGGACGCAAGACTGTGAGAGAGAAGGAGCAGGAGGAAGAAACGAAGAAGGAAGAGGAGCAGAACCAGGGGGGGGGGAAAGATGAGGAGGAGCAGAAGAAGCAGCGGGAAGGGAAGAAGAAGAAGCAGAAGCAAGGGAAGGGATGGGAGCGACCTCGTAGCCGTCCATGCTTGGCATCATGACGTCGACGAGGCAGAGGTCAGGAAGATAATCGCGATTGCCCAGCTCGGCGAGAGCTTCAGGAACATCCATGCAGACCTGGTGAGAGCGACCAGAGAGGTGAGAAGACTAGGAGACAAACATGCAGAGAAGAGGAGACGAGAGAAGGAGAGGAGAGGAGAGGAGAGGAGAGGAGAGGAGAGGAGAGGCGAGGAGAGGGGAAGGGAGGGAGAGGAGAGGAGAGAGTAGAGGAGAGTAAATACGGAGAGGGGGGAAGAGGAGAGGAGAGGAGAGGAGAGGAGAGG